GAGATTTGCTCTGTCAAACAAAGGCTATGCCTCTTTGGTGGTTCCAATCCAGCCAGCAGCTCCGTGGTAGAAAAATTACCTGCAGGGTAATTGGCAGCCTCAGAAACCCAATGGAGGGTCAGGTATGCCTTGGTTCTGACTTGATGGTGATGGGTTTATCTCACATTGGAAAACAACATGTAGTAAAACACACCACATGGAAGCCTTTGGGTGTAAATAGACTATTACAACCAGTATATTTCTGATGTATCTGCCTAGGTCCAACCATGGCATAGAAATGAATCTCACCAGGGGAAATTGAATAACTATGTTAGAGACATTATAGGGTATTGAAGGAGCCTTGATGGCTCAGTTTTGAGCTAAGTTATAGTGGGGCTAAGTGTTATTTAGCTAACTAAAGGGTCAGTAGTTCAAATCTACCAGAAGAAATTTCAGAAGAAATAGGCAGGCTCCTCTCATGATGATTTAGAGTCTCACCTTTGCTGAGTGAGTTATAAGGTATATGAAAATATATCTCTTGGGGTTGAAGGATACCCAACTTAGAAAGAGGGCTCTAGATCCAGCTCCGCTAGACGTTATTCCTTGGAAAGGAACATCATGTTTGGGAAGTTGGAAAGACTGCAAAGGAGGGAAAAACACTCAATGGGCTCAAGTGTGTCAGAGATTGTGAGGATGGCACAGGATAGGACAGGCTTCAGATCTATTGTTCATAAGGTCGCTGTGAGTTGTACTCAATTCCACGGCACATAGCAGCAACAACAGCTCCAGCTCCAAGACTCAGCTCTTACTCAGGAAGGTCAAACAGCGAGCCATTAAATGGCAAAGAAGTTTCCTGGTTTGCCCAAGCCAGAGCTGATCTGCAGTCACCTGGTAAACATTAAGTATCCTTCTAGTGTTGGATAGGGTGAAGGCAAGCTTCAGATGGTGCTTTGTCTTGGAACAGGGCCCCTTGGTAACCCTGCAGCACACTGGCAGGGTACAGATGAGTCACAGTTAAAATCCAGGTGCACAGGACAGGCTTGGGGGTGTGTGTGCAATATTCATGTGAAGACTGTGAGGGGGATTCAAACCTAAATGGAAACTGAAAAGTTGGAGGGGGGGGCTCTGATGTGGAGCACAGAGACATAAAGTGCATCGTGTCCATGTTGATATAGCAAGCAAGCGATGGCCAGGAGAGGCTGCAGCACCAAGGCCCTCGGGGCCATGTTGTGGGTTCATGGCTGGGGTAACCCATCACCACCTAGCCTCGTTCCCACAGTGATAATCCACCTGCTGCAGCCCTTTCCAGCTAGTGTCTATCCCAATACCCTCTAGGATGAAAGCTCAACATTCTGCTCACTGTAAACAAAAATACCTAACAGAATTCTGCCCATTATCAAAGAGTCTATATTGAAGGGCTGATGAAAAAATGGGCAGTTCAACTCATTTACATCATAATCCTGCATGTTTACCAACTAATGCTTTTTCAATGAGATCATGTCTTCACTAAAGTGAAACAGGTGGATTCCGCTAGGCATTGTGTTCATTATGAGCTCTATTGCTTATCCCTCACTTGGTCAGGTCTCTGAACATTCATCACCTGAAGACTACATGGTAAAGTTACCTTCTAATAACATATGTATAGAGGGGCTCTGGTGGTGGTGTCTGGAGCGCCATGCTGCTAATCTAAAGATTTCATCTCAAGTCCATCAGGAATAAAAACGTCTCCTCCCATTAAGATTTATGGCCTAGGATCCCTGCTGGAGGGTTATGAGGCAGAATTTCAGTGACTTGGTTGTGCAGAAAATAAACAGGAAGCAACCTAAAGAGAATACAGATAAAAAGAAACATGCTTTCTAAGCATGGAGAAAGCCTGCAAAAATGTTTCACTGTTCTGTAAACTGGTGATGATGAGTTCAATGACCAGTTGCACCTTTGCTACATCCTCAGCCAAAGCCTCTTATTGTTCTGGTAGGGACACACGTTTCACCACCACATTCCGGGATCTCTTTTATGGTCATTTTTCATTAACCTATTATTGTGTACGTATGTAATGAGCACAATGATCTCCCATACGCCACATTCCCCCTGAGGTGTCCCCATACTAATGTTCAGAAACTGTGACCACACTGTTATAAAATGAAAAGGAATGAAGATGAAATAGACATTAGTAATCATCTGACCTTAAAGTAAAAGAGTCATCATTGAATAGGCAGAATATAATCACAAAAGTCCTCAAAAATTACCTTGCCTTGCTGGCTTTAAAAATGGGGCTAAGACCTCAGGAATGTGGGTGTCCGTTAGAAAAGGCAGTGAATTTTCCCTTGAAGAGAGAGAAGTCCTACTAATACCTTTAGTTTCTCAGTGATAAGCACTTGGACTGTCATCTAGACCAGTAAGGTATCCATAATACATTGTGTTGGGGCAAGCCTCGAAATTGGTGGTAATTTTTAAGAAATTAACGCACTGTTGAAAGAAATGTTTGATGATGCATCTCCTAGAGCTCTGACTCAGAAATCAAAGAATAATTTACACCCCCACCCCCACCCCAAGCACAACTTCAGAGTCAATGGAAACTTTTTTTCTTTTTTTATTTGAAAAATCAAAACATAAAGATTGGGTGCAGCCAGTCGTCGATACAGAGAAATTCCCTCACAGGACAATGATGGATTCTGTCCAGGATGGTACTTCACAGACACACTCTCACTTCTTAACCTTCCAATCAGACCTGCATTTAGGAGTGTTAAGTACTGCAGGGTATCATGCTGATGAGGTAGAGTCCTCTGTACCTCAAGCCAGAACATTCTCTATTCCTTTCCTACTCCTCACTCCTTCACACTCTCTCTCTTTCAAGAACTTTCCCCCTCACTCTTAACATTTACTGACTCTTATGTGACTGGGCACTAATTTGACTAGTCAAACTCTTTTAGACAATTTACACAAATATTAAAACCATAACTGCTAAAAAGGGAAAACCAAACCAATCCTTTCTTCTTCCAAATACAACTCTTCCTTTGTCTGTTAACCAATCAATTGCTAAGAAAAAAACCCAACTAAATAAGCCTTTCCTTGTGGAGTCTAGCACAGCTTCTTCTCCCAAGAGTGAAGAGTTCCCTCCAGGATGCTGTCCTCAATGCCTCGACAAACTTTAGGTCCTAATCAGACTTTGCTCTAGATGCCATGTGTTCTGAGAGATTTTTCAAACCTTGGAATCTAGTCTTCCCCTTGGTGGTGGTGCTGGGTCTAAGCAATTCAGATTCTCCTAGGGGATGAAACAAAGCCATCCCATAAGTTTTCTTAGGCTGTAATTTCCTGTTTACAGCCTCAGCTTTCAACTTAGAAGGCATCATTTTACTTCCTTCCTCATGTCACCACATTCAAGTTCAAAAAGTTTACAACTGAGAGTATCATTAAGATCTTGCAAGGAGTGTTGCTGATGTCCCATGCTGCAAAAACAGAACACCCTGGGGTTACAGACAGGGCACAGGCTAAGCCAGAGGTGAACTCTTACCCCCAAGCTAAATGGAGGTCTAAGCTAATATGAATGCTTCAAGATTCTAAAGCACCTACTACTGATGCTAACTACACAGAATACTTTGCAATCTTTCAAGTATACTTGGAGGCATGCACTATTCATGTCTTAAATCCAAACAATTCAAGCAGACCAAACATGTTACAGGGAAATACTCTACATGCTACAGGGAAATGCTTTACTTATTATAGGTAAATACTCTACACGTTACAGGGAAATACTCTACTCGCCACAGGGAAATGCTCTACAAGCTACAACGATACGCAGGAAAATCTTCATCAAAATGATGCATTTTAGCCCCAGGTCTCTGATTTCGAATAGGGCTGGAGCAAGGCCTGAACTATTTATTCCTTAAAGGTACAAGGTCAGTATGCTTTGAAGTCCAGATAAATTGTGAAAATGTGGAATTTGTTTTCTAAAGTTATATGCAGAAGATAGTACAAGGAATCTGAAATAAAAATTCTGGTAAACAATTATCCTTAAAGGTAACCAATTACTTAAGATAAACAAAACAAAACAACCAAACCCAGCAAGATGGCTCAAATCACTAATAGCCAATAACTTTTTAACAGATACGCAGAGAAATTCTTTCCTAGGGTTAAATGAAGGGGCTCATCCTCAGGAAGTGAGGCAGCCAAAGCCTGAACGTATGTGGTCCCCTTTGAGACGCACTCTGGATTAAGGAGAGGCTCAGTCCTATCTGTAAATACCTAAAAGGAATCAAAAGTCACCCTGTCCTCTAGCCTCGCCCTGTCAACTTATTTTTTTGTTTTCCTTTTCACCAAACTGCTGAGCAGGCTTAGCAGAAGAGAGCTTTTGTGTCTTGACTTTTAAGTTTATGAAAGAAAGACCTGAAGAAACACTAGAGAGGGCATCAAAATCATTTACAATGCAAGCAGTTCAAGCTGACCTAACACGCTACAAGGGAATACTCTAACATGTCACAGGGAAAGACTCTACTCGCCACAGGGAATAGTCCACTTGCCACAGGGAAATACTCTTCACCCTGTAGCAACATAACATACAGTAGTGGTTCCCAACCAAGTTTGAGCAGGAAAATCTTCATCAGAATGATGCATTTTTAGCCCCAGATCTCTGATTTCTAATAGGGCTGGAGTGAGGTCTGAATATACCAGCATTTTTAAAGCGTGCTCTAATGCTGACACTGCTAGTTGATGTCATCACCAATAATGACACGCTGATGATACTGCTGGTTGGAGGAATGCACTTTGAAAACCAGTAGCTTCAACACAGGAAAAAAAAACCATTGTCATTTTGTAGGGGAGGAGAGTAATTGCCAGTCTGCCATACGTAGTTGAGCTGTCTGTGGCACGCTGGAGGTTTGCTGTTAAATTTCTAGATAAACTTGGTTCCTGGGGCTTCATTTCTAGATAAGAGTTCCATTTTCCTCACGTAAAGGCAGTTAAGCAAAAAGTGCCTGTGTCTCTTAGTCCTTATCCCTGGAGGCTGTACCTGTCTCCGTGCTGCTCTACTCAGGGACCTCGTAGCCCCTTTGCAGGAGCTGCTGATAGATGTCGTTTTGCATATAGAAAAAAATATATCCAGTGGAATACCTGCCATTCCCTTTCACTGGTATATCTTGTGCAGTGGACACATGCAGATCATTGAAGCTGAACCAGGTTTGTCTCTCAAAGTTGAAGACATCGCAGATAAAATGGCCTGAATTCATGCTACTTCCAATGTGGCTGACCATACCAATGAGATGGTAAGCGTGAGGACCACAATCCTGAAGGCTAACTTCTTGTAACATGGCTTTTTCTGGTGTCTGACCTTTCCTTCTTTGGGTTGGAACTTTAGTTTCTTGTTTAGGTGTTGTATCTTCTAGTTCCTGAGCTTTACCTACATCTACCCGCATTTTACTTGCCTTTTCTGGAAGAGCTTTGCAGGCTCGCGTCTGCCTTTGGACTTTCTGGCCCACCCTCCCTGCAACAGTTATCTTTCTGGGCTTCTTCCTGGGCCCTGATTTGCCTGAAGATTTCAGTGTACCTTGTTTGGGGCTTGGTTCACCTGCAGGTGCTTGGAGAGTCTTGGTATACTCTTGCGGTACTGGCTTTGGCAGGCTGGGAAAGACTGGCTGCTGAGGGGACTGGCCAAAGGTTTTCATTCCCTCAACGTCCTGTGACTCTCCAGCCGCTTCTGGGGAGTCTTGCCAGGTTCTGCCCAAGTTAGATTGTATGGGTGCGAGCGTGGGTCGAGGCACTTGTTCCAAAGGAGCCTCCACAAGATCATCTTCATCTGGAATGCTGATGGTCTCACTTCCCTCATCATCGTCATCATCAGTCACAATATAGAAGTGTTCTTCCTGAAGCATTCGTGAGCTACATGCTTGAGGTTCCTCTCCACGAACTGCCTCAAGCTTGGCTGATTCAGTGTCTTGCAATTCCATTATGTCTGAATCAGAATCGTCCTCTTCACATATATAAGGCTGGTTTTCACTTACTCCTTGTGCCTCGGCCTCACGTGAGAGAGCCAAGGCATATTTAGGTGCTGAGGTCGTCTGGGCCGTAGAGGACGTTGGGTTTCTCAAACCCACTTGCTCAGAGTCCTTCGCAGCCTGGGAAGGTGGTTGACTTGGATACTTTACCAGCGGTGGAGGTGGGATGGTACTCTCCACGCAATGAGATGACAAATCCAAGATTCTGGGAATTGCAAGGCACTGGTCCATTTTTTTAGAAGACGACGACCCAGTAAAGTGATAGCGTTTCAAGTGGGTGATCAGGACTCGCGGTAGGGTGTTAAATTTGTGTATTCCAGTTGAAACTTTGTGCTGACAGGTCTCACACTTATACTCGAGCTCTTCGGGGGCAAAGAAAAGATCTAGAGAAAACTGAAGAGACTTTGGGTTTCCTTTTGTTCCTGGGTACAAGGTGATGGAGAGATAATTATTTATTTCAGTCCTAAGAACAATCTGCTGGCAGGCGTTACAAATTATTAAGCGCTGCAACTCAAACTCAAAATTACTCACGATGGGGCAGATGGGCACTTCGCGCATAGCAAAAGGCTTCCGAGATGAACTTCCTTCTGCAAATTCCCATCGACTCTCCCAAACTGCTCTTAAAGTTTTCATTTGCTCTTTCATATGGTCTAAAATGTGGCCTAAAAACTCATGAGCGTCATTCTGTGTGTTTTTGGAGAAGATGCCTGCAAGTGACGAAATTGCTTTCTTAGTATTGCTAAGTATTTTCTCCTTGATTTCGCAGTTATACATGTATCTCAAAACCAGCAACTGTGCCATGCACAGAGTAAGGCCATTAAAGGGAATTCTTCCCCAGAGGACACTCTGACTAAGCAAATCATCACCAAAGCAGGGGATTGAAAACAATGCTTGTAAAATGGCATTCATGTAGCAAGTGTTTCCCAAGTTGGGGAAACCCTGCCACTGCCGCGCCGCAGTAAAGTCATAGCACAGCTCGTGTTCCTCCAACTCTTCAAGTTCACAGTGCTCATATTTGGGCTTGAACAAAAATTCCAAAAGGCTTTCCCGAGAGAGTTCTTCCATAAGATAACCCCAATCGAGGTAAAGGTTTCCAGTAGACTTGGTCTCCAGCGTGGGTGCTCTTCCTCTGAGCCTCCTCCCATCTGAAAGTAACCTTTGCTTCCGAGTATGGATTATGTACCTCGAGGAAGGTTCAGTGGGTTTTGTTCTCAGCCTGAGACTACTTTTTTTCAGAAGCTCTTCACTCATTTTAAAACCGGAGGATTTTCTTTTGTTTTGCTGCTGGTAACCCCGACGTGGCTCTGGGTGGTCCTGGGATGTGGACGCTCTCGCAACTAATGATGCTGAGGCAAGTGTTGGTATTGCTTCTGCTGCCAAGGTGGGGGCGGGTGCTAATTCTGATGCCATGGTGAATGATGATAGCAATGACAAGTTGTAAATATTGGATGGGTCATCTTGCATCTGTACGGGTTCAGGGACTGATTTCGTAGAAACTTGGCGCAATGAATCATGAGTTCCCTTTGCTCCAGAAAAACTCGCTTCAGCACATACAGATTGCCTAGATAACAGAGGATAGGTTTGTCGGACTCTGTACAGAATTGTCCTCAACTGCTCAGCATCTTGGTAGGCTAATTTTTCAAGAAACAAGAAGACACTGTTTTGGAGTATTACATGTAAATGATTCTTGTTTTCTCCGGCAGATTTAAAGGTCACTCTCCTAATATTATTGGATAGTGGAAACTCCATTATGCAATCTTCGTTGCTGTAATGAATGACCAATCTGACATGGTTATCTTCTTCTACTATTTCAATGTATGCCTCTTTGGATTTAGAAATCCCAGTCTTCTTGGTCCATATTTGGACAAAACCAGCTACCAGTAAAGTCGTCATCTTTCTGTTACAAAGAAAACACACACAACCTGAATTAGTGACAATCTTGACATTCCTGAAAGGTTCGTTGCCCCCTTATCTTGAATCATCTTGTTTTCTAGTGTTGGTTTCATGCCAGTCTCTCTGAATTCTGAATGTTGTTATTGTTATGTGCTGTCTAGTCGCCTGTGACTCATAGTGACCCTGTGTACAACAACCCTAAACCCTGCTCTGTTCTGTGCCAATCTTGTCTCCAACACACCCACCCCAATTGCCCCGGCCACTGAATCAATCCATCTCTTAGAGGGTCTTCCTCTCCTGCACTGTCCCTCCACCCTCCCAAGCATGATGTACTTCCTCAAGGACTGGTCTTTCCTTGCAACACGTCCAAAGTATGTCAGACGGAGCTTGAGACTCTTTGCCTCCAAGGAGCAGCCTGGTTTAAGCCTCTCCAGGACGAACCTGTTCATTCTCTTAGCAGTCCATGGTATCTTCAATAGTATTCTCCAACACCAATTCTGAATACTCACCTCTTTGTTGATGAGACCAAAGTCTTTAGAGAGCTGCCCAAAATCACTAGAGGGTTGAATCTTATTCCAAAACCAAGCACTGCTGGAAAAATCAAGAAAAGTTATTGAAATACAGAATATACAGAAATACTTGGATAAAATTCAAAACTCTGCTACCATCCAGTAAAACCTCCTTTCCATCCATCCCCAAACTGGATTCCATTCCAACTAATTTCTCTACTTCAAACAGAAAGTACAAAACACTTGGGAAACTTTCAATACTCAGCCAAAAACCTCACCAAACAGCAATGTCTCAAGAGGTTGCATATAAAATCATATTCGCATCACGGAGTGTGTAAGGAAGTAGCAGGTACTATGTGGTCCTCAACCCCCAAAGAGAGAACGTATCCTAAAAGCAGAAAAAGCTAAAGGACATTAAACATGGACCACTCAAAGTAAGGCAGTCCACCTCTTTCTAAATTGTTATGACCTCTAGTTCACATGACACCAAAGGGATGCTACACATTCTACCCAAACAAATTAGAAACCATACCCGATGGCAAGGACTCATTCTGACTCAAGTCAACCCATGTATTAGAACAGAACTACTCTACAGGGTTTCGTTTTGGTCCCCCCACCCCCCGCCCGTAATCTTGATGTAACTAAATCATACTCAACAGCAACCCTATGGACAAGATCTCTAAACTCTGCTTCTATCCTGAGACAGTCTCACTGCCTCTGACACACCTACCCCCATTGCCCCAGTTACTGTGTCAATCCATCTCCTCTAAGGTCTTCCTCTCTTGCACTGTCCATCCTTCCAAGCCATGTCCTCCAAGGACTGGTTCCTCCTGGCCAAATGCCCAAAGTATGTGACACAAAGCTTCAAAATCCTTGTCTCCAAGGAGCAACGTGATTTCACCCTCTCTAGGACAGTTTATTTTCTGTTTATTTTCTTGGCAGTCCACAATATGTTCAACACACTTCTCCAGCATCACAACTCAAAGGACTTCTTCTGCCACCCTTAGTCATTGCAATGCTTGTTTCTTTTTGTGACAAAATGGGTGGGTTCAAACTGCCAATCTTTAAGTTAACAGTAGCCTGCAAACTGCTTGTGCTACTGTGCCCTTCCTCTGATTGGAGAGAGATTATTTCATATTCTCCTTCAATGGACGCACCTGACATTCACCTCTCATAGGCCATACTCTTTTGGTGCCATGCTTTTCACACCCTCAGTGAGACAGAAGTTGAAGTTGGAAATGTCAAACCTGAGAAATTTACACAAATCCATTCTGAACTTTAGTCCAAGACATCCCCAAACAAGTGCTGAGGGTTTTGCAAAAGCATCACTGTTGAAGGGACCTTAACCACTAGCCAACTGCCAGTCAATTCTGACTCATAGCCATCCTCCATATACTAGAGTAGAACTGTACTTCACAGGGTTTTGGTCCATATGGCTGATTTGTTTTCCAAAGTAGATTGCCATGCCTGCACTTTAGGGATCTAACCAGTTATAAAGGTATCACTGTCAATCTAAACTCTATGGAACCAAATTCTACCTTATCAGAATTGACTGACACCAACTGACTTGGGACTTTTTCGCTTGTTTTTGGTTTCAGTGGCCAACAATGATATTAAGCATCACATAAGTATGTTGAGAGACAAATGACTGTATAAATCAAAGAATGTAACCAAAGTCATAAAATAGTACCTGCAGAAACTATGGAATAGGTGCATATCTTCTATGTATATTCAACAATAAAAGACTTCATTTCAAAAAGACAACCAACAAGCAACCCCCCCCCACAATTGTCCAGTGATGCTTCTGACATGTTTGACACTTTGCCTATTCCCAAAGCCTAGGCTGAGAAGTATCAGAGATCATCAGGACTATGACCTTTAAACTCCTCTCCATAACTTTCCTCTGTTTAGCCATCCACAATCACACTGGTGGGATCCAAGAAGTTCTACTCAAGACTATGGCCAATCTAAAGTATCAGGGCCAAGACAGATTTATTTGTTCTTCTAGCAGTCCATGGCATATTCAATATTTTCTGCCACCACAATTCAAAGAGATATAGTCTATGCAATCATCAAACCTTGCTTTTATGGCTGATACTAAAGGCAAAGGCAACCTTTACTCAGTTCCTGGCCAATAATCAAAACCTCAAAGTTGGTGAAGCATGAATGAATGTGATTTGTGTTTTATAAAGAATTTAATTTCTCAACCTATATTCAATGAAGGAATGACTGCACCTGGCAATATACAGAAGTGCATATCCATCAGAGTGAGAGTGATTCTATTTCACATGGTGGAAATGGAGTCATCAAAACATTCAAGCACAGCAGCAAATTCAAGGTCTCATAATTTGTGCTAGTTTGCTGTCCTACCACAAAGGAGCTCTTGTGATGCAGTGGTTAAAGTGCCTGAGTGAGATGTGGGAAGTAGTTTCCTTTTAAAAAGAGGCTAATTGAGTTTATTGTAGTGGTGGTGGAATAATCTGGGAAAAGATAGCAAGAACGGTGAGTTTGTACACCAAACTGTACAAATAGATACTGTTTAAACTGCTTTTTTCTTATATACATTTTAACAATAAAAAAGGAAGGACAAATAAAGGCAGGAGAATTAAAGAAATAGGAACATTTCTGGGCAACAGAAAGGGCCTTAAGTATAAGGCTGGTGGTCATAAATTTAGATTCAGACTTATCAGCAAACACATACTCCTCACTTACCTCACTATCTAGTTATCCAGTCTTTCATCTTTATGATAATAATTTTAAAACCTACTTGAATACTTTGCATGTTAACAGTCTAGCAGTAATGACTGCAAAGGTGTGAGGCAAAATGAAAACTGACTGTGATGGTTAAGTTCATGTATCAGTTTGGCAAGGCCATGGTTTTCAGTGGTTCGGCATGAAGTTATGACATAATTTACATAAGTTACAAACGGATGCAATCATCCTTCTTTTTTGTGATCTGATGTGGTCACCCTTTATTTTTTGCTTAACACCAATTAAAAACAAAACCAAAAAATGAACAACAAAACCCCGCCTGGTCTTTGGAACTTTACCGTGCTCGTTATTGAGGAGTGAATGTACTTAGGTAATTCTTGAGCCATCAGCTCGGCCATATCATCGGCCATCAGCTGATATGGTGCAGATGTGTAAAGCCGAGCACCGAACTGAATTGGCTGGAAATGTTACCACTCATGGATTACCAAGTAAGAAACAAAAGCAGCTAAAAAGTGTAGAGAAGTGAGTAATTGTAACCATGGACCCACAGAGGGTGAAAGAAGGCCATAAGACAGGAAGATCTATTTCCTTTTTTTTTTATTTTTTGTTGTTTTCTTTTGTTTGTTTTTTAAAAGTTTTTATTGTTGGAAGCAGAAGGACTTTAGATTTTGTTGAAAGCAGCCACGTCCATGGACTGCACATAGTCTTCAAAAGCAGTTATTTGTTCTTCCAGCATATCTGTGCCAACTTTATCATCTTCAACTACACACTGTATCTGAAGCTTCTTAATACCATGTCCCACAGGTCCTAGCTCGGAAGAGTCCCAGACCAAGCCGTCTGCCTGAATACTTCTGACACATTCTTCTAGTTTTGCCATGTCAGTTTCATCATCTCACGTCTTCTCATCTATTAAGATTGATGACTTGGCAACTAGTGCAGGTTTTTTGGCTTTCATTGATTCATACTGGGCAAGGCGCTCTTCTCTTAGCTTCTTTGCTTCCTCACTTTCCTCCTCCTCCTCAGATCCAAAGAGATCAATGTCATTGTCATTTTTACTGTCTGCAAGTCCACTTCCTGTGGTGTCTTCCACATCAGCAGGGCCGCATTTATTTGCCCAATGCTTTCTTCACTCCTGGAAGGCTGGCCTTTTCCTTCTCGTAAGACCTGATGTGATTGTACCAATGCAGGGCGTGACACAGGTTGGAAGGTGGGGGGCTGGAGATGGATTCAAACACCGCCACGTCTGCTTGAGACAGCACATACCCCTCGATGTAGCTTTTGTCGGCCAGGTAATTG